CTACTTAACAATCAGACTGGATCCAGACCGAGGATCAAGAGCAGCCAGAGCAAGGAATGTAATGAAGATGCTGCATGTGTGCAATTTGGGATGCTGACTCACAGGACACAACCTGAGCAGCCACGTGGAGTGCCCCTACTGCTAACAACTGAATCATACCATTATTAAGGTTGGAAAAGGCCATGAAGATCACTGAATCCTTCCCAGTAGGGGAAAGAAAGGTTAAATCATAGGGACTGGGAGAGCCTCATTCAGCTCTGGCTTCATCACAGACACTGAGCACAGGGCTTTCTCCAGATACATAATGCACATTGCCTGCTCTTGCATCATTCCAGTGCTCAGATGATTCAGTAAAGCAAAGCTGAATAGGATTTGGTTTCATTATAGTCAAACCCCCATAGGCTAGACATCTGTGGGAAGCTGATTTCCCTTCCACAGTGTCCTGCAAGGAGCTGCTGATGGGGAACAGGAGGGTATCCAACCCCTGTATGCCTTCAGCATGTGCTCACATCTCATTCTGCAGTGGGTGCACTGAACGTTTAAGGATTAACTACATCAAATCCCACTAAGAGCATCTCACAGTTAAGACAATTAAAATCAGACTCTCAGTCATCTCTAGATGTCATCTGATTAAAACTGATTAAACGAAGATACATCCAGTGCCCTTTTGTATTGCTTGGCATTCACCAAATCACCTCCTTGGGAAAGGAGCTCCCAAGGTCCCTCCCTTGTTCAAGAGGGAAAGCAGAATGGGAGCAGGGGATAACATACATGAAGGCATCACCCCCTCCTGCATCACAGACACCTGCACTAAGCTGAATACAACCTTCATAAGCATCCCATAATCAATTCCCTATCAAACTTTCCAAACACCCCTAGCAGCCAACTCTTCCTGTCAGGTCCTAAATTAACAAACCATCAATACTCATCTGCAGTTTTTTCTTCTGTGCAACACTTGACAACACACAGCTGTTTTCTTCCAGGTAACTCCCGAGCAGGTGGATGTTGTGTGCTGGATACGTGGCTGTTACTACAGACTGATAAATATCTGTTGATGCTGCAGCATCTAACCTAGAAATTAAAGTTCAACAGACCCATGAAGATAAAGCAAAGCCCAATCAAACTTGGCTGTTGCATCACCAGTGTCTGTGTACTGACTGCTGATCTAGCTCACAGAACGTCCATTCACACTTGCAGCATGGACTGAGGGCAGAACCCAAGTGTCAAAACCAAACGTTTGCTGGTCCCTGCAGGCATTCAAGGCCAGGCTGGATGTGGCTCTGGGCAGCCTGGTCTGGTGGTTGGCAGCCCTGCACATAGCAGGGGGGTTGAAACAAGATGATCATTGTGGTCCCTTTCAACCCAGGCCATTCTATGATTTTATGATAATAGCAGGCTCAGCCCCATGGTGCGGGGTCATTTCTCTCAATTTACCAGTACACAACACCCTAGGTTTAATATTAATCAAGAGCCACAAAGCTTTGAATAGACAAGTATCAGCTCCCTCTGTGCTGGTCAATCAGCTGCTTGGGGCACCACAACCACGTTAATTGTGTTTCAGACAAAACAGTAGTTTTGTGTCTTTCACGTTTATTTCAAAGTGAGAATTAATAAATTGGTAAGCAAGAAAAAAAAACAGCCCTCCTTCTTGCAGCTTAATAAAAAGCCTAAACTAAAACAGTCAGAAATCCTGTTGTAGATGAACAAAAAACCACCAAACAACAATTTCTCAACAAAGAATGGTAACAACAGCTCTAAAGACCCCCAAACCTCTGATCACACAGCCCAAAGCAAGCACTATGGCTGCATCCAACTCCATCACAGCTCCCAGCAAAGCACAGCTCATCTACACCAGGCTCAGACTGGATGCACTTCAGTCTTGCAGACAAAGACACTGGAATGGGTTGCTCTGCCTCTACCAGGAGTGTCCCATTCTCACCCAGTGCTGTCTACATATCCTGGTTTTCCTTTTACCCACCACCCTTCTGCCAACATTCTTTGACTGAAGAAGAGATTTAAGAACCCCACAAAGCAGACAAAAGCACTCAGAGCAGCAGTACAGCAGCTTGGTTGGAGAGGAAAGCCTTTCCCATCAGCTGGCTCCAGCATTCCCTTCACCTGTTCCACCAGCTGGAGGCTGTGTGGGCCCATTCATCACAGCTTCCATTCTCTCTTCATTTTGCAGCTCCAGGCAAAAGCAGGCTTTTCCCAGGAGGGGGTGGGGTAGAAAATAAGATGTATGAGCTTTTTTTTAGAAAAAGAAATCCAAATGATAATATTGAGCCCCTTTAGAGTGTCCCACACCTTTTGCACAGAAACTCTGCTTGCACGCAGGGTTGAAGGCAGTAACCTTCTTTAGTTGAAGCACAGAGAACAGGCCAACACATGTGTGGGAAATCCTGTCCTCACACAGCTAGAGATGAATTTTCAGTCTGGTTTTAAGGAAAACAGTCACCAGCACAAAGTAAAACTTATTTTTTCCATTGTTTCAGCTTTATGGAAGAGAAATGGAGGGGGAGAGTCATCATGGACACCACTCATTGAGGCGGACGTTTTCCAAGAGCCCATGCCAGGTGCCTCTCTCCTGCTGACTTTCAGTGGAAATATCCATTTAGCTCCAACTTAAATAGACCACAAAAAGCCCTCAGACCTTCCCAAGTGTCACATCAGGCAGGAGGTGCAGTAAATCTCCACATTGAGAAAGAGGTGGTAAGAAACTGTGGAACCAGAGTAAGAGTGTCCAGGGCAAAAACTCAGATATGCCATGCCCATTCATCCTCATATGCTATGACTATGTCATATGGGGTCTTCACAAAGACACAAAGCCATGAATTGTGAATATATACATCTCATGTTTCTATCAATCATATTTTTTGATATATAAGCACATGGAAGCACTCAGCAAGGTACATCTCCACTGCCTGGAAAAGGAAGAGATGAGGGATGGATGAGAGGCTCTTGACTTTCTATAGAAGAACGTGAACAGAATAGTAGCAAAAGAAGCAAAGCACCTCTGCACATTCCAGTCAAAGAATAAAAGACAGCATATTTCCTACCACTACTGCAAGACAAGACAACACTGATGGGCTCAGGAGAAAGCACAAGGAAGAAAAGTTGAAGCTTCCCAATATATATTTGCATCAAATGGTTTTCTGACAACTCTCAGGTACAACTGAAGAACGAACACCTTCCCTTCATTGCCCATTTGGAAGCCTCAATCCACATGCAGGATCTTCCTGACCCCCAGCCCCAGGTTACTGAAGGCAGGAGGCAGCTCAGAGCCAACCGACTGTACACCACTGTGTTTTAATTCTGCACTTTAACAGATCTGTGGTTCTCTTTTACAATTGCATTTCAAGCTTAGGAGCCTTCTTTCTTCCCCCCCATTACTGCCTGCACTGTGGCTGGGCTCTGCCACCCAGCGATGACTCTGCCCCAGGCTTTGCTGAGCATCCCATGCTGGCAGAGTGCTGTAGCTGAACAAGGCACAAAGGCTGCAGCAAACAAGTGCTGCATTCAGCACAGCAGTCCAATCAGCCCCCAGTGCTGCTCTCTGCAGTGACTCCTTCATCCTGCAACACGCACGCTGTGTTTGCTGGACGCTTCTGTGCAAAGCCTCAGAGGGAAGAGAGAGGTCTGCTTTTCTTAGGATAAAAACCAACTGAAAGCAGCTCCACCCCAAGTGCAACTATCAATCCACTGTGCCTTGAGAGAATCACACCCAGGGGTAATTAGTCACTTAGAGTCCTAAGAGTTCATTTCTCCTTGCTGTATGTGTGTGGCTGAGAAAAAAAAATGGAGGAAATACAGAAATGGATCTGGGGAACAACTTCAAAATAAACTCATAATCCTTACCCTAAGAATTTCCTTCGTCAACTTGAGCATCCCTTTAGGAAACAGATAAGGAGGCTTTTATTTTCTTTGATTTGGATGCTAAATTAAGAAATGACTCTAATATTAAGAACCAGTAGAGTCAAGCTGCCAGCTGAGAAACAACAGCGATGCTACACTCCCTGCAATGTTGCACTACTCTACTTCAGCCCATAATCTCATGCGGTCACCAGTCCCTCAAACAACACCTTGCACCAAAGACAAGTTAACACTGTGGTTCTTACAATATTGTTCAAAGAAAGAACAGCAGAGATGATGTATGGCCATGAGCAGAGCACAGCCCTGCCACGTGATAACAAAACACAGCCAAGTTTGCTCAACATCATGCAGAGGCATTCCATGCAAAGACCCCACATACCTCACAAAGCAAAACAAAAACCACAGCAGTCAAAACAGCCAGAAGAAAATGCTAAACAACACTCAAACCCTTCTGAAGTGTAATTTATACAGCAGCCTGTACAGCTTGTGTATACCCTGGATATAGATAAACGGACAGTAAGACATGTATGTGTGTGTCTAGATAAATCACTGTTGGTATCCCAGTGCTTCCAATGATTCTATTGAAACAAAGGCACTAATTTGAGATAACTAGCACAGGACAAATTACCTTCAGTGCCTAGTTCTCACTAAAACATTCCCACATGCCAGAAACAATGGCTATAAGACAGTGTTTAAGGCATCCCGGGGTGAGGTTCCCATCTGCACAAGTATTACCAGCTCTACAATTTTTAATGAATGTAGATGGACACATACAATTCCCTCTCTGTATCACAGCACCACACCAGTGCAACCTTTTGGCTAAAAAACCCACTGTCAACCAAATCTGCCCAAACTTGGGCTGGGGGCTGTGCATGTTGGCAATCCCATGCTTTGTGGCCATGTCCAACTGCCAGAGCAATCACATCCATACCTAAACAATCCAGACAGGAGACATCAGTTGGACAAGGGAGGACATCTAACCACCCATTCATATTTGTTTTGATCCACACTCAAAATCAGCTTCCTTACAAGATGAGCAATTCCTCACCCTACTGAGCACCACTGGGTCTTTGCCTTTAAACCTGGCCATCGCTTGGCTCAACTCATGTCCCCATTGATGGAGTTCCTACCTTCCTTTGTACCAGTGGTGACGGTCGCTGCTGCTGTCCCTGATGCTCGTCCCACTGGGCTGGAGTGCTTCCCTGCCCTGCCAGGGATTTTAAGTCCACTTGGCTTCAGCATGGTTGCTGCCTCTGTATCTCAGGTTGGTGCTACCAGCGTCTCCAAGTGCTGTCCTGCTGTCAGCACTCAGGCTCCTCGATGTTGGGTTCCATCGCCACAGACCTAAGGGGGGGAAGAGCACAAGTCAGTCAGATTATTGAGAAATAAAACAGACAATGGGTGGGAGAGCACGAGCAGCACCCAGCTTTGTGGAGGTGACATGATCTTTCTTTTCCGCACCTGTAAAATGAGGGAGATCTCCTTTGTCTCCCATTTTTTATGTTACAGCCTTTTCCTTAGCCTTGCTAAGTAACTTCCAACCCAGAGACCTTGGTTAGAGCAGAAGATTCTCAGAACCAAACAAGAATTCAAATTCAGTTTTGGACTGTTCTTTAAATTCTAAAGTCTCATCTCATCCATTAGGATCACACTATCATTAAGGCTGGAAAGACCAATTAAGATCATTTAGTCCAACCATCAACCCTGACCTCTGTAGGTCAGATAGCCAAGATCCACTTCTCCTGTTCTGCAAGGGCCTTCCCAAAGGGGCATTACAACCCCATGGCACCTCATTGCATGTTCCCCATGTTCACACAACCTCAGGGCAGCTCTTCCAAACCAACACGAGGAGTAAGGAAGAGGTCAACATTCACAACTGGGCTTCTAGCTCCTTCCATTAAGGATAAATCTCCAATCTTGGTAGAGAAAACAAGGCTTCCCCCATGCCTTCCTGGTAGGCAAGGGGAAGAAGACATCCAAATGTGACTAGGCAGCATTAAGAGGCACTGAACTTTTCAAACAAAAAGTTTGATGGCAATGAAAGAAAAAAAAAAAAAAAAAAAAAGAAAGGAAATGACTAAGTTGTTGAAAAAAATGCAAAAACATTCCAAATGGATAAAGAAAAACAATCAAAAAATGGAGACTATCAGCAAAAAGGAAGCTACGGTTGGCTGACTGAGCAGGGATGTGGGCAGAAAGAGGTGGCAGCAGAGCGAGACAGGGACAATGGCAACAAACTGCAAAGGGAACAGCAGCACAGACAGGAGGTGAGGACACCCAGGTCTGGGCCATGGGATGAGACAGCCTTGTGTCTGCATCATTTGAGAGAACTGACGTAGCAAAGTCTTACAGATGCTGCGAGGGGAGAAGTGCAATGGCCAGGATGGGAAGTGATTAAGGAGTGAGTAAGGATCCCAGCACAGGCACGAGGGGAGGGCTGGCAGCTCTCCAGGGAGAACCACAGGCACACAGATGGGAAAATAAAATAAAATAAAAAAAACAAAACCCAAAGGAAAAATTCCAAAACTGTTCCCGAAATCTCCTGGAATGCTGAGACACCAAAGAGTGTTTCAGCAGTAAGTCAGCCATCCCACACTGGGTTAGAGATGAGAGAATAACAAAAGGAGACTAGGGAGACAGGGAGCAGAGAGGGATCTGGGTGTCCTGGTGGCCAACACGGTGACCATGAGCCAGCAGGGTGCCCTGGTGGCCATGAAGGTCAAAGATATTTGGGGTGTATTAAAGGAGCGTGGCCAGCAGGACATGAGAGGTGATCCTCCTGCTCTGCTCTGCCCTGAGGAGGGCACATCTGGAGTGCTGTGTGCAGTTCTGGGCTCCTCAGTTCAAGGCAGACGTGGAACTGCTGGAGTGAATGCAAAGATGATGCGGGCCTGGATCACCTCCTGTATGAGGAAAGGCTGTTTGCCTGGAGAAGAGAAGGTGGAGATGGGATCTGATCAGTGCTGATTGAAAACCAAAGGGCAGGAATCGAGTGGATGGGGCCAGGCTCTTCTCAACGGCACCCAGTGACAGAACATGGGGCACAAACTGGAATACAGGAAGATCCAGTTGAACATGAGGAAATATTTCTTCACTGTGAGGGTGATGGAGCCCCAGAACAGGCTGCCCAGAGAGGTAGGCGAATGTCCTTCTCTGGAGATACTCAAAGCCTTCCTTCTCAGGTGGACTGGATTTTATTTATTGGGGTGGGAGGGAATAAGAGGAAGTGCATTCCCATTGCATTACATTTCTGCCAGAAACGTTGATGCAAACACATGCTTTCAACATACTGATGCTGAAAAACAAAAACTCCATGGGCTGCTAATTAAGCCACCCTGCAAACAGAGGGCTGCTTTTATTCCACTATACAGCCCATGCACATCCATACTCACAGGGCTCAAGAAGTGCCCAAGATGCCATCCTGTGTGCCACCCCAGCACCTCAGTCTGGGCACTCCTGAGTTACACATCAGGTCATTATCCTCACCCAGACTGCCCTGAGCCACCCAAGCCTCTTTAAGCTAAAACACTGGAAAGAGAGGTTAGATGTTAGGAGGAAATTCTTCACTCAGAGAGCAGTGAGGCACTGGAACAGACTGCCCAAAGGAGCTGTGGATGCCCAACCCTTGGGAGCATTCAAAAGGCCAGGTGGGAACACAGCCCTGGGCAACCTGATCTGCTGGGGGACAACCCTGTCATGGCATGGGGTTGAAACTGGATGATCTTTAAGGTCTCTTCAAACCCAATCATTCTAAGAGCCAAGCAATGCAGCTTTCATCCTGTGGTCGCATCTCAGGCTGGGACGTGGGCCAGCATCTCCACAGGGCACTGTGCTGCTCCATTAGAGATAACAACTTGCTCTGAGCTTCTGTATTGCATCCTCAGCACCCCAACAGGTGCTCTTAGCAGAGTTCTGAACACGCACAAACTCACGTCCCATACAACAGCATGAAACACTTGTGCAGATAATACAAGGAATAGGAAAAAAATGGCTCAAGTTTAATATTCCAGCTTAACTTCACAGAAATGAGATTTTCCCCTGCCACAAGGTTAAAAAAAAAAAAGCCACCACAAAAATATCTAAAAATATCTGCCCCTATAAACACTCAGGGGCCAGTTCAGCTTATTTTGTTTTTCCTTCTTCCTCAAAAATGATGCAGACTACAAAGGTCTTCAAGTCCTCCACTGGATTCTTCCTGCAGTCTTGTCATACCAGGATGAATGGCTTTGTGTGTTCCCACAACAAAAAACCATCCCAGGAATGCACAATACGAAAACTGCTCCCAATGACCAAAACATTCTGTTCTCCATCTTTCCATCGGAAAAAGGGACGGCCAAATCTGAGTCACCCAGGCTCAGATTCAAAGAGAACAGCTCTCAGCTAAATGCAGATGTACTCCCAAAAAAATACCTCTCACCAGCAGCGATATAACTGGACACATGAAGTATCTGTAAGATGGGCCTGGCATCATAAGAGCACACATCAAAAACACAGGAATGGCGGGAGGTGCTGAGATCTCAGTTATTTCTCAAATAGGGTAAAGGTTTAGGAAACAAAACCTATATTGCCAAGGCTGCAAAAAGGTTCATCTTCAAGTTTCTCTGCTTTACCCATCCCTCCTGCCCTCAGCAAGGCACATGGATACCCATTTGCCACATGCAACATCATCCCATTCAAGATGGGCCATAAAGCAGATCCTCAAACCCAGCATGCTCCCTAGAAGGAAACTCTCCTGAGTATAGGACAGGATCTGTTCACCTCCACATACTGAACAGAACAAGCACACAACACAGGAACAGGTTTCTAGACAGACTGAGTTGGCCCAAGTCCCATCCTGTGGCTGGTGCTGCCTTCTGGATGGATCTGGATGTAAGATGCATTTATCCAACACAGCACCCTGGGTAAGGCACAGGGACTCTGTGCTGAACACAGATTCAAGTGGAATTCAGGCTGGTGTGCCTGAGCACTGTTGGAATGGATCGATGCCTACAGTGATTTATAGAGAAATACTGAGTTGTTTTGTTAACATTACGTACATAGCTCAAAGCCTAAGTGCTAAAACTGATTTTCTAAATTTGCAAAATTTGATTCCTTGCCTGCAAATTTAAATTTACAGTCAGTGATGCATACAGCTTTTCTAAGACCCAGACCCATAGAAGAAGGTAGAGTATCCAGTTATCAGTTATCATACTGCAGGAAGTGATGCTGTGTTGCATGGGAAGTGAATGACAGACAGTGCAGACAAGCAGTACAACAGTTCTGTTTAAGGCAATCTTGACTGATGCACATTATCAGCAATTCCTAAAGCAATTGTTTGGATACAAAAAAGGTTTGTACAATGAAGTCTGCTTCTAGCCACTTCCATCTCAGATGATGCTTTGTGACACAATTGCTTGTGTATTATTTCAAACGCTCAGCCAGCTTTCTGCATACGAACGCTGAGGATGAGGAACCCCAGGGGTTCTGTACACAGCCCTATGGGGGCACACATACAAGCAGAAGGAACACAAAGAAAGTTTCAGCCACTTCAGGGCTGCTATAGAACAATGCAGTTGCGTGGCTGTGTTCACAGAGATTCTTACGTTAATAATAAAGACAAAGCCTGGGAAGTCCAGGAATTCCACCTTCAGTTGCTGCTGATGTAATAACAGTGATTCCATATGGAGAAATGGAAGGGAAGAGAAACAATTTCATATGATGCCAAACAACACACAGCTGAGCTCAGCAGCACCTGGGTTTGGACAAATCCCTTGCATGCACATCCAGGAGAGTTAAGTATAAACACAGGAACCAAACTTTCTACCTATATTCTGGCTTTGTAACTCAGAGCCTTCAGCAGGTTTCTGGGTTTTCCCATAGCATTACTGGTTGCAGGAACCTCCATCACTATGCAGCATTGGCACTGACAACAGAGCCCAGAGCATCCCTGAAACCCAATGGCTACAAAAGGAGGGGGTCCACCTGCAGGAGCTCTTCACCACTTCAGTAACCACAAAAGATAAAGGCAGAAAGCTTTCAGTGTTGTACTCATTTATTAGACCTTATACAAAGCCATCACTGGCCTAAAGGTAGTGCTATCTATTAAATGTAAAGTTGCTTCATGTCTTGTTTCCGGGCATTTGTGCTGCATTCACTTCATGCTTTCAAGCTTTTCTGCACTCCATTCCCCCCAGAAAATTGAGAATCTCATGCAATAAAGCTCAAGCTCAGAATCATTACGTTGCTGCCCACTTCCCCGCAAGCCACAGGGAAACACAGGTTAAGATTTGGTGCCCTAGGCTCATGCTGGCTGTGCTGAAAAGATGGGGGAGAGGGTTTAAGAGAAGAATTTTGCCTTGAAAGCA